TCTTATGCTTTATATTTTCATTAAATTTGAAAAAAAATGGTTATTTATTCAAACATATTTTGTTTCTCCTTGCCTCTCTACTCCTGGAATTCCAGTTCTATGTGTATTAATTAGCCTTCTTGATATTGTCTCACAGCAAACTGAGGGTTTGTTCATTTTTTTAAGTGTGTTTTTCTCTCAGTGTTTCATTTTAGATATTTTCTATTTCTGTATCTTTAAGTTTGCTAATCTTTTCTTTTGCAGTTTCTACTTTGTCATAATTAAACTTCATATATTTTTCATCTCTGGAATTTCAAATTGGGTCTTTTTTATCTCTTCTATTTCTCTACTTGTCATGCTCACACTTTCTTTTTGGACATATAAAGTATATCATTAACATTTTTTATCTACTTATTTTCATAATCTGTCATTTCTGTGTCCGTTTCCATTGATTAATTTTTCTCTTGGTTGTGGGCCATATTTTCCTGCTTCATTGCATCATTTATAATATTTTTTTTTAAGAAGGCAAGGTAAACAAATAGCTTAAGTATTTTATTTGTTTGAAAGTAAGCTCATTAACATTATATAATGAAAATGTACAAAGAATAATGGTGCAGTTTTTGGTTAGATTTAAGTTAGACATTCATTAATAAGGAATCTTAGAATATGAATAGTCCAAAAATTTCTCTAAACCATATGGTCAGAACAGCTGTCTCTGAGTATTACCTTACTTTGAAAGGTACTGGCATACATCTGAATTGAACTCAGAATTTTTCAAAATAAGCCCTAATTAATAAAACTATTCTATATTCAGACAAACAATTTTAATAAAACTTATTTTCCAGAAACAATAATAAAGGACAAAGCGACCACATTTTACAAAATGTGGTCCTGAACAAATAAAAAACGTATACTTCCACCTCCTCAAAACAGAGACTGCTTTCTTTTCCTCAACCTTGGAAACAAGGTGAAGAATAGTCTGCAAGCAAGTTTGGGCAGGGGTTTGCTAAAACAAAGCTCAAACAGTTGAACATGGCACCTCTTAAAAAGAATTTGGGGAAACTTGACCAGAAAATCCAAATTCTGTTTTTAATGACAGATACAGAGGTGAACTGGATTCTCCCAAGCAGCAGTGCAGGACGAGGGGAGGGTGGTGGGTAGGAGTGGTTGGCCCAGACCTAAGGGAGACTTTTTCTTCCTTTTTTTTATTTTGAAAAATTTTTAATGTTTATTATTTGTTTTTGAGAGGGAAAGAGAGAGAGTGCAAGCGAGGGAGGGGCAGAGAGAGGGGAGGACACAGAATCTGAAACAGGCTCCAGGCTCTGAGCTGTCAGCACACGTGGGTCTCGAACTCACCAGCCATGAGATCATGACCTGAGCCGAAGTCAGATGCTTAACCGACTGAGCCACCCAAGCGCCCTGAGACCTTTTGTTTTTAGAGGTTCAGTGTTCAGGGAGCTCTTTGTGTGAATGAGAGGAGCACAGATTCCACATGGGTATTTTAAGGTATGGAGGCAAAGTATTTTTCAACACAACTAGGCAGAGTCCATGTGTTAAATGGTCCGTCTCCATCCAGTTTGTCCTAATTCCTGACCATGCATTTGTAGAATTAGGACCACAGACCTTTGCTATGTGATTATAATCGTATCCAATATCCATCCTAACTTATGATTCATATTCTGTGCCTGGAAACAGTCCCTCTATTTAACAATAATACCTACACATAGAACAACCCACCGTTACAACTTAAATGGTCACAAAACATTAGTGATTTTCTGTAGACCAGCAAATATTTTTGACCACAATTATTGTGCATCAAGTTCACAGCCAGAATCCCTGATATCAAAAATTTTTTCACAATATTAAATAATAATTTAACATACACACTTACACAAACACACACATACTTCTTACAGAATTGTGCTCGGGGAAACTCCATTTGTTGAGTGCCACGGAGGGCCTACTTTGCTAAACTGCTAAACGTTTTGTTTGGAAAATCTATCACAGTAGGTCACAGATGTTTACTGATGAGTAGAAAAGAAAGATACACTTATGGCAACCAGAAAGTTTTAAGGTCTTTCAAGTTCTATAAAATAGACCTGCAGAAATGTTTAAGTGTTCTTAGGATGCAAAGTTGGAGCTGAAATGTGATATAAAACCAGCTGCAAAATATACAGCAGCCATCTCTTCAGGTCAAACCTGGTACCTAGATATGCAAGAAAGCTTCATGACACCTAGCTTGTTGGCTTTGTCCCATATTCTTGCATAATCTGATCTTATGTGGAGCCAGGCAGAGGGCCAGGCATGCTACCACCTCAGGGAACCAGGGCTCAGCAGTGCTGGTGCGATCTCCATGGGCCGACTAAACGTTGCCTACCACTGAGGAGCCAGGACCAGGAGCTGACGGCAGGCAGCAGTGGCCCAACCTCAGGCTCTTCAGTGGAGCTCACAAGCCAACCATGATGTATAATATTTTATTAGTTGTTAGACATTACAGATTTTACATTGTTGATTATTATATATATATATATATATATATATATATATTCCTTTAAATTTGGTTTTGTTCTTGGATGTAGCTAACTCTGAATCTGTGGGATCCTTTCAAGGATTATTTTTGTAAGGCTTCCTTTAAACTTTCATTAGAGCAGTCTCTCATATACAACTAATTTGGTGCCATTAGTGAGGCAATCCTTCTCCTCCTCC